CGCCACCCCTCACCCCGAGAAGGCACCCGGCCACAGAGACTGGTGAAACATCAGGAAGAACAACTTTCAGAACATGGCCAAAGAGCCAGAAAAACCCACAACAACCATCAGATCCTGGCCATGAATGCCTTCGAGAATATATTTTGAAAATCCATGCATTTTGTAAAATTTATAAGGAGCCTAGTGGTGTAATGGTTAAACTGCAGTACTGAAGTCAAAACTGCTCATGATCTGAGTTCAATCATATATTTTGAAAATCCATGCATTTTGTAAAGTTTATAAGGAGCCTAGTGGTGCAATGGTTAAACTGCAGTATTGAAGTCAAGACTGCTCATGATTTGAGTTCAATCGTGATGGGCTGAGAAAGCCAACTCAAGGTTGACTCAGCCTGCCATCCTTCTTAGGGTGGTAAATTCAGTACCCAGCGTGCTGGCTATGTGTGCAATGTGAATTAAATTGTAAGTAAATTGTAAACCTCCTAGTGCTTTAAGTGCTATGGGGCAACGTATAAGAAGAACTCTTTAAAGTTAATTGGATGTTGCACATGACTTCTCATTGTTTAAATTCTGTCATCACAATATCCGAATTTTCTTGGGATTATTCTAGGACTATATCTAAAGAGCATAAGGAGGAAGTCTTTAAATAATGTTATTCCTGCAGCTGTTCAGGCTCCCGACAATACTGATCCAACTCAGAGTTTCTATTTGTTAATCTCTGTAATTATAGCCAAATAATGTGAAGTTCACTAAGATGAGAATTTGCTTCCCCCAAACACAAGACTATTTGGCTATACCTTGCCAAAACATAAGACTATTTGGCTATACCTTGCCTTATTGGCAGGAGCTCTTCTCCACAACCCCTTTTTTCTCCACCTTCCAGTTGATCCTGGAGACCCAAAGGACTGGATCTGGAACATTTTGCATGAACAGCATGGAATCTTTCTAGGACCTACAGTCCACCTAGAAACATTTGTGAGGTGGGTTGCTCTATAACACATTACTAGTGAAGAATTCAAACATTGACCCATTTGATATCCAGAAATATTAAAATGTAATTTGTTTCCCTGAATTTGACTCAACTCCGAGAGGCAGTGGAAGACAGGAGGGCCTGGCGTGCTCTGGCCCATGGGGTCACGAAGAGTCAGGCATGACTTAACGACTAAACAAAACAACAATCAGTTATAGCTCTGAGGCGTAACGACTAAACAACAACAACAATCAGTTATAGCTCTGAGGCTTCTTGAAAAGTTGCTGATTAAAATTATAATTACAATTTAAAAAGAAACATTGATGTTCTTAGTATCCAGAACCAACTGAAATAATGCCTTTTAATTCCTTTTTTAAAATTATTTTATTTTATTTCTTAATGATGCAGTGTAAAGCACACTTATGGAGTGAGGCAGCCTGCATCCTCTAACAATAAGCATAATTAAAATACAGTCACAGTTACACTGCAAAAGGAGAGGTATCAGTTCTCCTTATGTTATAATAATAATATAATCCAATTATGCTTTAAGTATTGCAAAAATGGATTCCACATTAACTTGTTTTTGTAAATAATTAGGGTTTTTTGTAACTAATTGACATTTCCCTGTCATAAAGGCATTGATTTATCAATGAAGCTGCAGCATCATAACTATTCATCTGTATCATTTAAATATATATTTATATCTACCTAATAATGTTTAGATAAATGAAGGCACTGATTCTAAATGCATTGGCTTGTGGAAAGTCACCAGGGTTTGTGTGATGAGTGGATGTGCCCAGAATCCTAGATTCAGATATTCAGCATTGCTGCAGAAGATGCTCCACCACAGCATGTTTTAACTATATTATTTAAATATGGAAATTTTCCTGTTGATTTTTGTGTGGGATTCCAGGCTTTAATTCACACTGTCTAGTTTCTTTTAAGATGTTGAGAAATAGGCAATTTTATTGCTATCTTCTCTTGCAGTATACATGAAGCTGTACTCTGAAGCGAAGCTATTTTCACAGACCTTCGAGTACCATTATTGCTATTGAACCAGGTTCTGCACTTGAATAAACCAGAACAATCTGCATTTGAGTCGTCTACTGGCTTCAGAAAAGCATTTGATCAGGCAGTCCTCACTGTTTTACCTGCTGTGCTCGTACAACACCTCAGATTCAAACAAGTATTTATTTGTTGTGTTCTTGGTCACCTGGGGAGTACAACTGAAGGAACAGATCCCAGGATTTCTGATTAAAAATGTCCTTTGAGAAAGAGGCACAAGATGTATGAACATGTAACTTATATTGGAATGTCAAGATTGCATTACAAATGACTCCCCTCTGCTTTTTCTCTCACATTCCCAGTGATCATGTATTCACATAAAACCTCAAACGTGATTCCAAACAGTGCATCTAAAAATGATCAGTGATAAACAGACCTGTTTCTGTGCCTCATATTTGGTTCCCTCTCTTGTGGCTAGAGATGGGAAGGCCTGTGGAAAGGAAAAATGGGGGGAGGGAGAGAGGCAGGTGTTTTGTTTTGTTTTTTTTTTCATTTTTTTCCAAAGCTGATTTTTGGTTTGTTTGTTGTTTGGAAAATTGGGGGAGGGGGGAATGGAGAGAAGAATATATTCTTTTTCAATGATAAATAATATGTCTATGATATGGTATTCAAACTATATAACATGAAGACCTTAATGAAAGACTTCTGAAATTTATATAAGCTCTCTGAGAGTTGTAGCATATGGTGACATTGATCCCATGTGCTGTCTCATCATAGCCCTTGGTATCCTGGTGAAGGGTAGAAGTCAAAGTGCTTCTCTTCATCACCGCAGTCCAAGTAAGGCTAGGGTGAACATTTCTATTAATAGCCTGAAAGCCTTTTTTTAAAAAAAGTGTGATTACAGTCCTTCATACAGTGAAAAAAAATGCTCTACTATGGTACAAACCTCTGGATATCTCAGTGGTTTAGGTCTCCGGTTGTGGATCCAGAGCTTGGGAGTTCAATCCCCTACTGTGCCTCCTTGACGGGGCTGGACTTGATGATCCATAGGGTCCCTTCCAGCTCTGCAGTTCTAAGATGACGATGATTAAAAGGTTGGACAGAATTGATCCACGGCAGTGTGGGGTGGTTTCCCTGGATATGTTCAAAGCTGTTGGAAACACTGATATGCGCCTAGATGGATAAAATAAATGTCTTCCTTAGACCATTCCATAAAATGTCTTTAA